CATGGACACTACAAGAAGATTCATCTACCCTTTGACAAGTCTTTTTAAATGCCTAATCAGGGAATCAGTTTAGTTTCTGATGACTTGACTATGAGGCAGGTAGTATGGGGTTACATGCTAACACCAGCACATGTAAAGTGAACTGACATAACAAGTATATATATATATATATATATATATATATATATATATATATATATATATATATATATATATATATACTTTAAAATTTTCTAAGGGTAAATTAAAATATCAAAATTATATTTAAATTAAATAAGGTCACTGAAAAAAAATCATTGTAATGAATCAATTTACATCTGCTGAGAGGAAACTTTACAAATAAAAGATCAATTTCTTTAAAAAAATCCATTTAAGCTGTATTGATCGTTCATCACATGTTTGATCTTTAAAACTAACAAATAGAAACATGTTTAGTGATATCTTTAGTTGATCTCCTGAGATGATCCCCAATTGTAGAATCAAAAGAGTGAGTATAAAAAGACAGATCATTTGGCATTACACACGAGAGATTCAAGGTTAAGCTTGTATAGAACATTATCTTGGAGCTAATAAATACTTAAGAAAAGATTGCTGTTATTCCAACAGTAGGAAAACTGCAGTGTTTGTGCAAATTACATGGCATGTTGATGCTAAAGATATTGAGAAGCATCCATATGTTTTCATAGTGGTTCTCATGACAGGGTGGTGTGCTGAGGTAGGAATCTGTGTTAGTGATCAGGGAGGTTAGCTCAATACTGGTTGGCCAGCCAGCCAGCCAGTCAACCAAATAAAATAGCAGACAGAGGCAGTTGTACTCTTCACAAGATCCTGTTTACAACCAGTTCATTGCACATTTTGATTAAAGGAGCTTTGCATAAACACAATCTCTCAAGAATATTCACAGCTGCTTTATACAATAGAAGATAAAACTCAGTTTTACAAAGTGTGTTGCCAACAGAAATAACTACACATTATATTCTGTTGAATTTGTCTGATCCTATCTTGTGTCAACAAGCTTCAAAACATAAACTTATGAATAAACATATGCAATTCTTTGAAATAATCAACAGCTATACAATTCTTTAAAGATTGCTTTGAATAGCATTCAGAGTCTATTTTAGGTCTCCAGGTTATTACATAGAATCATCTTTGAAAATAAAATATACAAGTAAATATCTATTGCTGATAAAGAGTTTTGAATTTAGAGAGATAAATTATAAATATAACTGTATAATATAAGCTGTTTGATATTTATGAAGTGCTTAACTTTATAATTATTCCTTGGTGATTGTAACTGAATTTCGCTTCAACCCATATTCTCCTGGTATCAATTTAAATTGACAAACTTCTTTTTTATTCTATATATTGTGACTTTTACTTAAAGTTCATCTTTTCTTGATTCCAAATGTAAAATTGGAAATCTTCCAACATATTTCAGTGAAATTTTCATTTTCCAAAATTACAGTTTATAATTATAGTTTAGATATAGGGGGAAAAAAGAAGGTGTCAGTTTAAACTGACACCAGGAAGATGTGGGTTAATTTCTCTTATTATACTTAACATTCACAAAGTTACATCATATCAAACTAATTATTTCAAGAGTTGACTCATTAAATTTAGATGAAAATTTAAGTGAACACCAACAGGGAATGCAGTCAACATATTCTAGAAGCCACCAACTGATTGTATTTGATCTTGGGCTGTCCCAAGCTAAGCTGAGTAAATATCCTGAAGAAAATTGTCAATGTGAATAACATAGTTGTGAGTATTTTTAACTTTCTATTCTTATCCTGCTGGCATCAGTCTAAACTGACACCTTTTTTTTCTATATATTGTGTCCATTTTTCTTAAAGTTTATATTTTCTTGATTTCAGATATAAACTTTCCCAACATATATTAGTGAAATTTTCACTTTCCAAAATTATAGTTTATAGCTTACATATTATGAAAAATAAAAACATCATTTTAGACATGATGCTAGGAGCATATGTTTGAAGTAAATTTCATGTTTTAATATTGTTACATTGACTTATTCTAATAATTTAGTGACAACAATTTGAGTAAGAAAAGGTTTTCTACAAAGGATTTGAGTATAGAATTATTAATGGAAGGTGACTGATACTGATTTTAATAGTTGTACAGTTTATAGCACTCTAAGAGATACAAGAAATGCTTCAAATATATAATGACATACTGAAAATTTTTCAATATGACCAAGAAAGGATTTAAAATAAAATTCATGATGATTGGTCATTTAGAAAGGGGATTAGGCCAAGACCTTTTCAATATCCCTTTGTATTTTACTTTGCATATTCATTTCACGTACAATCATTTCATTTAGTAGAGATAATCAAGAAAAATATTTTATGTATAATTTCACTTGTAATTCCTTGAAATGGGTAGAAATTTACAAAAATAAAGAGCCAATGTTTACAGTATTGGCTCTTTTTTAATCATTTCACCCCAAACAATGTGATAATGCCATGAGGACACAAGGGATTACAGGGTGTAAAAGAGACTGAGAAGACTTTACTGAGAAGAAAGGGCAATAAAGGAACAAGATTCAGGTAGACAGAAGATGGCGATTGGCATTGCATTTAAATTTTTGAAGATTGTAGGTGGTAGGGAAGAAAGAAATTAGAAGGGAATTCAACAAATGAGAATTGCTAGAAACTATTAGAACAGATGGATGCATCTAGATAATTCAACAATAAAATGGTGGGACCTGGTTGCCATTCTAGCAACATGCTTAAATTCATACAGTCAAGGCACCAAAACAGAAAGCTCATCAGAACAATTGATATATTCTAGAAAAGACAGAGGGAAGCCAAATCACATCAGTGAGATAGAGGCTGAAGTTGTGATGCAAGGTCAGGATCAATTACATTACAAAGCTTTTTTGAATTTTGTCCAGACCAGATTTAGCAACAGTATTCAATGCCTGGACAAATGATAAATTTATACCATTATTTCATGAATGTCACACAGTATTGTAACTTTTGTAGCAAAAAAAAAAAAAATCTTTTAATATGTTTTCTACAATCATGGCCTCAGTGTGGTTATACATCATGATGACACTTGAGTTTTTATCCATTGAAAGAGCATCAAATTATTGTTTCTTAAAAATATCTCAAATCAATAGTTAAAGTTTTTTTTATGTTCAAACAGAAATTTGGGATAAACTTCAATCATTTTGTATTAATTAAACATATTAATAAACACCAAAAGCCAGTATTAGATAAACTTTATTTACCATCAATATGTATTTAAGAATAAGTAAAAATTTTTTGTAATTTTTTAAATATAATTGCTGAAACCCAAAATATAACATGTATCACATTTGGTTTTAGTGTTTAAATATTATATATTTTATGTCAATTAAATACAATATATTTTGTTTAATTGATGTCATCATTCATAAAATTATATTTTTGTATTTTTTGTTTAACAATATCTTGGATAAACATTAATGGAAAAAAAAGCATTTTGCTATGTGTTTTTTTTTTAACATAATTTAAATCATTATTTTTACCATTATTTTTTCGGTGTTACTTATTTACAAATTTCAAAGTAAATACAAAACAAAATCAATCGATATTTATCCAGACTGAAAAAAAGAGAAAAAATACTTCCTATATGTTCCTGTGATATCATGAGTAGGACTTATCAAACAAATTTGTTAAAATTTTCATTCACACTAATGATTATGTATATACTAGCAACAAACAGGAGACAATAGTCACAATTGTATTTTAGAACTGACTGCACATATACACTGTATACATAGGCAAAGCATCAGCTTTTCTCACTGACTATACTGCCACTCTACCAATATATACTAAAGACATTTTTATTAATAAAGAAACTAAATATTTCTGGTAATAGAGAAAAAAATTAATGGGATATTTCAGATTTTATTCCAAAATTAGTTTCAACAGGCTTCAGCAATCAATATGCATGTTCTGTTTTGAAAAGCAAGACAAATATGATTTTTCAGTGCTCAAGGCAAATATAGCTGACAAACAGAATATAACTAATATACATTAGAAAGAGTTAATAGATAAGTAAAAGTTCAAATGACTTATCTTCCAACTTGAAGTGTCACAGAAACTCCATCCAACTTGTTAGGGTAAAATAAAAGTAATGAATTCATTAACAGATATCACATTTATCATTTGATAGATAAATTTATTAAATAGTCTAATAGATAAATTTAATAAATGATGTCTGTGATATCACATTTATTAAATAAAAAAAAACATCATAAATAAATTTATTATTTAATAATAATGAGTGACTTCATTAACATATAGTGATGCCTCGCTAATTCGCAGTTCTACTATCGCGGACTCATGACTTTTTTAAAAAAATATATATATGGAAAATATATTTGTGGAGTTTCTAGAAAATTCTAGAAAAATCACGATATATGAACACCTAAAATTTCTCATTAAATCCATTGAAATATGAATAATAAATATTATTTCCTAGTCTAGGAACAACAAAACAAGTGTAAAATGCCAAAAAAACATATACATGCGTATCTGAATTTGTAACTCACATGAAATAAAAAAAAGAACCATCTAGAATGCAATGTGCATACAGTATCCATATATCCTGTTGTTGAGAAAATGCAAAGCATACCATCTCGGTGACAAAGTGCGTTGTAAGACGGGTTGTGATTGGTGCAATGGAGAGAAACGACGAATCATAGCTTTCTATTTTGTAATCTGGCCATGAGATTGGTGCTTTGACCGATGCTCAGATCTGCAGCATCTTCCCTTGTCTCTCTCTCTCGCAGCCATTTCTCTTCAAGCTTTCTCGCCGAGCAGTTTATTTTTTATGCTGTGGTGTGTGATTTTTTTTGTTTCTTTGCGTTGAACTTTGCATTTTCATCCCCTGCAATGGCTCCCAAGCATGCTGCTTCTTTCAAGGCTGGTACTGAACCTAAACACAAATGAAAAATGATGATGATTCCTGAGAAGATGAAACTTCTGGATATGTTGAAGGAAGGGAGAACTTTCGCTGCCGTAGCCCGCCATTTTAGTGTGAACGAATCCACCGTTCGCTACATCAAGAAGGACGAGGCTAACATTAGGAAGATGGCTGCCATCACCTTTAATAAGTCGGCGAAGAGAGTGGTTACGGCTCATAATACAACTATCATCTGTATGGAAGCTGCTTTGGCCATATTGATAGCCGACTGCCGAAAGAAGAACATGGTCTTGGATTCGAATATCATCCAATCAAAGGCTAGGAGCCTGTACGAGACTTTCGCTGATAAGGAACCTGAAGACAACAGTGGTGACCATGAAGAAGAGGAAGAAGATGAAGACGACGTTGAACATCCACAATCAGGGATGTTCAGTGATTCACAACATAAAAACGTCCTTTTTCTGTTAGCAAAAGGATGGTTTGCTAAGTTTCAGAAACGCTTCCGCCTAAAAATTGTTTCCCTGCATGGCGAGGCTGCTTCTGCTGACACAAGTGCTGCTGAAACATACGTGAATGAAACTTTCAAGAAGATTATCTCCGAAGCTAGATATAAGCCCAAACAAGGTTTTTAATATGGACAAGACGGGCTTGTTTTGGAAAAGAATGCCATTGCGAACTTTCCTGTACAAAGAGGAAACAAAAGCCTCTCACTTTAAAGCATACAAGGATCGTGTGACCCTCGTGATGTGTGGCAATTCTGCGGGATTTTTGTTAAAACCAGGACTTATTTACAAGTCTAAAAATCCAAGGGCTTTAAAAAACAAAAACAAGAATCTGCTACCCGTACATTGGATGCACAATCCAAAGGTGTGGATAACGAAGATGCTGACCTTCAACTGTTCCACCAGTGTTTTATCCCGCAAGTCAAGGTGTATATATTAGAGAAGGGCTTGCCATTCGAAATCCTTCTCCTTATGGATATCGCTGGTAGCCACGCTATTGATCTGTCGCATGAGGGCATTCAGATTGAGTTCCTGCTGCCCAACACTACGCCACTATATTCAGCCAATGGACCAGGGGGTTATCAGGGCATTCAAGGCCTTATACACGAGGAATGTCCTGGTGAGCCTGATTGCTTCTGTGGATGCCGCCCAAGAAGACGAAGACGAAAATTTTAACTTGAAGGCATACTGGTGGCAGTACACAATTGCTACGTGCCTCCAAAATATCCTGAAGGCATTGCAAGAAATGAAGCCTGCCACCATTAACATGAACTGGAAAAATTTGTGACCCAAGTTTATTTATGACGACAAGGGATTTACACCTCCCGAAATCCATCACTCCGCAGTACAGAAAGCTTTGCAGCTGGCTGTGATCATTGGAGGTGACAGCTTTGCAAACATGACCATGGGGAGACATTGACAAGTTATTAGACTGCCACTCCCAGCTGCTAACTGATGCAGACCTTGAAGACTTGACGAAGTCAGCCAGTGAAGAAAAAACGCAGCAAGAAATGGAAGAAGTTGTTGACCAAACTGGCTTGAATTTGGAACAGCTGGCCAAGCTCTGCAACCTGGCTAAAGAATTGAAAGAGGGGTCACAGGAATGGGATGATGATATGGTTCGTTCTGTGCAATTTTGCAACAAGGTTGACAAAGTCATGAATCCCGATGAGATGTTCTTTGAATGAAAAAAGAAGCAGCGGCAGCAACTTCCTATCACAATATTTTTGCAGCCTCGCAAAAAAAGAGCCAGTTCCTGCTACTACTACTACTACTATGGTTGCACCTTCGGAAGAAGTAAAAGAAGTGTCCCAGGAAAGGGCATCACCGTCTGAAGAGACATAAAATAAAATCATTGGCTGCACAATAGAAGTCATCATCAGCTACATCAGCATCATTTCTACTGCGCATCATCATTCAAATTTTAATTCAACTTCTTTCGTGATGAGTATAGTAACAATCTTTATTTTTTTAATCTAAAGTGTTATTGCTTAACAGTTGTCCTTGTTATTAATAGAGTACTGTAATGGGTGGGTTGGCATCTCTACTTTGCGGAAATTCAGTTATCGCAGCCGGTCTTGGAACCAATCTACCGTGATAAATGAGGGATCACTGTATATCATATTTATTATTGAATAAATAAATTTATTATTTAATTATAAATAATAAATGTGATACCTGTTAATGAATTTAATAGATTTATCTTTCCCTGACAAACAGAATAGTGTCTGTGAAACTTCAAGTCAGAAGATAATTCTTTTGAACTTTTATTTACTTATTAATTGTTTTTTTTCTCTAATTTTTTAAATTCTGAGCGTCTCATTTACAAAAAGCTGCTCACCTTGAATACATCAGCCTCCAGTAATTTACTGGTTAATCTGTTTTGCTAGGTATTGATGATCTTTGTTGTTGCTATTATTATGAGCAAGACTTATTTACATATTACTTATCATTACTTTGAAATTGAAACTGTAAAAAATGGTGATTTCTTTTCAAGGTACTTGCTGAGTATGTTAATGGTTAGAAAATTTGTTGGAATAAGGTAAAATTTTTGCCTTGTATTGATTTTTCTTCAGTTGATGCTTAGCTATAATGCTAGAAAGAGGCTGTCTACAAAAGCTAAGCTGAATATACATGAATAAGGTACACTAAATTTTAACTTCAAAATTGTCTAATTTAAAAACTACAGTTTTACAGAAAGTATGGGATCAGAGTGTATGATCTGTTCCACTGAGTTTTATTGGTAGTTACACCTTTGAATCTATTAACTCACACAGCCACTTGTCCAGGAGAAACAAAAAATTAAGATGTTGGAATCTTATTATCATACTTACCTGGCACAGGACTTAACCATTAGCCAATAAGTGCATACTGAGGCATGGTTATCACCCCAATATTGTAAGTAGAACTATGTTTCTCCTCATTTTAGATGGGAGAAGTTGCTCAGCACCAGGGATAACAAACCTGTGGCAGCACTTTCCTCATTGCACTAAAGAGGTTAGATCAGTGTAATACCGATGCCAGCATGACAATAGTTGCTGGGGGCTGGGAAAAAAACAATATTCGTCCTTGGCCCAAATGCATAAATATGCATATGGTACTCCCCACATTAAAACAATGTTGTGTCACATCAAGCCCTGGTGAGGAGGCCAGTAAATATACTTATTATTATTATCATGTCACTTGAAAGTAAAATGGTAAGGTGGTAATATGCATACTAAACCACCCCTTAAAATTTTTCATTTCAACTTCCTCTAGTTGCTCCCAGTTGACCTGTAGTCAATGCAGAAATTCCTCCTAAATTAGATTTTTGCTAGTGTAACCAGGTGACTTATGAAATAATGAATGACAATAATTCAGATTAGCAGTTAATTAAATTCCACTTACCGCTCTTCAGCTTCAACTGGACTTTGTGTTGCTGGCTTCTCTTTTTCACGGTTGACAACATTTGGGACAAAAGTTGGTTTTGGTAGAGCAGTAGCAGTTGGTTTGTCTTTAATATGTCCAATGAGTCGATAGTAATCAAGAAACGTACGGGCCAAGTTACGTCCGAGTTTCATATCTGTGACATGTCAGTTAAGGATTCCACAATTCTTTGAGACAATGTTGACAGTAAATTAAAAATTAAAATGTAAGAATGAAAATTGTTCTTCAAATATTCAACAGGATGCTAAAAATTTCTTATTTTTGAGAATTCTTCATTTGTTCCGATTATAGAAAGTGGGTCAAGTTAAAAACTTTTTTGTAACTCATCATATTACATTTTCTAGCAAATAAACTTTTCTTTAAGTGTAAATAGGATTTTTCAGATGTTCTTGTTTCCCATTTAGATATATTGTTTGTTTTTTTTTCAAATGTAACACAGATGTATTAATTTTTCTTTTAATTCTGCCAACTATGTACTAATTTACTTGATATACTAGTTTTTTTCCTTCATATATACAGATATCTATCAAATGTACTGTATATATGCTAATTCTACTTTCAGATATACTCAGCTACATTCCTTAGTCCAACCAGGTTTGTCCTGCATAACTAAGACCTGGCATGCCATATACACTAGGACAAACCATTTACAATCTCTTTGTATTCCATTAGTAAGAAGGAAGTTCTACTCAAGAACAGCTACTCCCAAGAAAATGTTTTCCTGATCACTACAATCTTAACCTTTTTAAATGTAAAGTAAATTGTGATCCTACATATCCTCATAAACTACACTTCTTACCTCTTCTCATTCACTTATGTACTCATAACCTTAGGAAAAGTATAAACCCATTTCCTCTCCCAACTTATGTGTTAAATAGTAAGACCTGTATCTGGAAAAATTATTGTTATTTTCAAAAAGAATTTAATGTAATATTAAAAAAAATTACAATCCAAATTAGATTTTGGATTTAATTAACCCACAAAGGGTTGATAAGCTGCTATAAAAACAAATCAATCAAACCTTCTCTTACATTCATAAATCTATCAATACACTAACACAACAACTCTCTTGGGCTTTGTATTGGGAAAACATTAGTAAAAAAGTTTCTATGCTAAATGGTTTTAGGCTTAAAAATGACAGACTTAAAGATTTCAATTTTTTCATCTTATAAAAATGTTCTAACTATGCATAAAATTCCAAAATACCATTGAATTTTTACTATCAATTTGTTTTTTTTTTTTAAATCATTTTTAAAATCATACACAAAAATGGATATTTTATAAATCATGGTAAATGCTTCTATATTTTTTCTTCTTTTAGACAATGTTATCTTGCTAAGCTTCAACACAGTACTTGTAATTAAATCTGAACCTCTGAATGAAAGAACAATTCAGATATGAAGTGAAATGATTGTAACCACAAATCTACTTTGGGGTTCTGTATTCCTTCTTTTACAAATTAATCTGATTCCTTTTAATTAATTAAAAGGAATCGGATTAATTTGTAAAAGAAGGAATACAGAACCCCAAAGTAGATTTGTGGTTACAATCATAGTAAACTACTGAATTTTGAGAGGTGTTTGGATTTATTAATTTTTCTTCTAAACTTATATATAATAAAAATATTTCTTTTAAAATATCTAAGAAAGCAGAATAATTTTTAAGAAAAGAACATGAAGACAATAATCAAAAATCATTCTTATACCAAACTTTTTAGTCTTAATTTTAGAGTTGGTGATGAAAGCACAATGAAAATTTTATCAAAGCTAGAATGATACAATTTAAACATTCATAGAGATTTTATTTAGCCTTACCTAATTTATACAATAAAAGTAACTGTAAAACAATAAAATACAAATAAAACAGGACTTTAGAGTATTAAGCATGATATTTTGAAGGTATTAAATTTATAATGAAATCAGCTTGAAACCTTTTAAAATCCAATTTAAGATCTTTGCAAAAAATTTAGGTGAAACTGTCACATCACGTCACAAATCCCATAACCAAATGGGATTGTAGAGGTACCAAATATATTGCAGCCATAACAACATTGGTGTGTTTAGGGCAAGATAACCTGCTGGATCTTATTTCTCTGATTTTTGAGTTTTCCTTCTTCTATATTCATTGCCACTTCAAGGGAGACCAGTTATCACTGCTATTTATCCCATAGCTGGAGGGAGAGTAGATGTATTCATACCTTTCTCAAGGGAATTTGTGCAAAAGTGCATGTAACAAACTTGGATGAATTTGAACTTGGGTGGTTAATTTCTCTTTTTGAGTTGCTCACCATTACATTACCAAATTACTGAGAAATTATCATCAAAACTGCAATAAAAGTTTTTAAACTTTTTTTATCAACATTTCAGAGAAAATCTATTTGAAAACATGAAGAAAGTTTAAAAGAAAGTCTTATTATGTTATATCAGCCTTAGAATGATGTGTGTGTGTGCTACAAATATGAAAATGGTTTACAAAAGGTTAAATAAGGCCTTTTTTTTTAAACTGATATTTGTTGAAATTAAATATTAAGAAAGAAGTAAAAAACCGAATCTTATGTATCAAGAAAGAAAGATGCAATATACATTAAGCAGAAGGAAATCATTAAAAATTTAGACTTTATCTCTCCTTACTAAACACAAATATCCATTAACTAAACCAAGGAAGATAACCAAAAGTATAATAATATTTTTGTTTTCAATATCTTTACTTCTTCTTTAACTTCTAATGTTCTGGGTGTTAAAGAAGAATTATCTAGACAACAACACAATGAAAAAGAGCCATATTTTTTTGGCACATCTCTTTCATGATTTCCTGTTTGTTGTGGCAAAATGTACTCTTGTCATTTGGGAATATAGCAAGCAATAAAATTCACATTCACACAGATATATAACCTTGTAGCTATTACAAAGAAGACAAATACATTGATGCAAACATGTCTATTTGTGCTTCTTGTATGCATATAATTTGAAAACCATCCTCTGATCTAATACACAAACACACACACATATATACATATATATGTATATATATTTATTTGGCACTTAGCATACATGCTTATGATGCTCAATAAAAACAGGTAAAGTGAAAAATATCTAAACAAATTTAAAGAAAATCAAATATTAAAAAAAATCTGAAAGTTACTTTACCTGAGAGAATTGGATTTTATGGTGTTTTAAAATCTGTGTTAAGGAAAATATTTAAATATGTCTCTATCTGTGGGGAAACAAAACAAACAAAATCCTTTAGTATATTTCAATTTCTAAAAATTACGATAATGACAGAAAATATATACTTGTGAAGATGTAAATGCAGAACAGAATATATCAGAAAGTAAGTCCTTAAATAGTTTTAGGAAAAAAGAGAATAAAGAATATTACGACAATATTAGATATGATATTGTTGAATATTGATTGATATAAAAGTCGTTGATTTTCTGGAGAAAGGGTGAGATGTAAATTTGGGTTTCTTTAAAGAAACCAATTCTTGTATAATGGAAAGGTTTTTTTTTTGCATTTCTCTATCAATTTTTTCCATTGTGCTTTCTACTTTTACTTGGACCTGACCGAGTTGCATGAACTGCAAATCCATATATTTATTTATAAAGAAAAACACAAACATAAAATGAGTTCTTTAAACAACAAATAATTGAGAAATGATAAAAGTAGATAAAGAACTTATTTTGTAATATAAAAACACTGTTTGACTTTATATATTTATTGGTAATGTAACCTGATCTTCTCTAGTTAGGAATTAGAACTTCAGTAATGATGATAAAAGAAGTCAATATTCAATACAAATAAGTAAATGTGTTACTGTAACAGCTGAATATCTCATTAATAATTAGCAAGAATATATTATTTGTTTTTGATATATTTTGTTTGATATTAGCTTTCTTTGGATATTCTTTTTACTTTTCAGGATTTAAAAACCAAAATGTTTTCTTACATGTGACAAAATTAACTGTATAAATAAAAGTCTGAGATTAATCATGCATAAAGTATAACCAACATAATTGCAAAATTATTAAAATATTGCAATTAATTTTTGACAGTATGGAAAAACTCATATATCATAAAATATAAATATAAATTACACTTACATAGATAACATATGTAAAATACTGTTGAGTAAAATTTTGATAAAGCAAAATGAGGAAAAGAAAACTAATATAGTGGTTTAATAAGATTACATGTTATAAAGAGACTGGTAAGTGTATGTATGTGTGTGTATATATATATATATATATATATATATATATATATATATATATATATATATATATATATATATATATTTACTAATTTAAAAATATGGTTCCATTGCTACACAGGAATTACTATGTTTCAAAAACAGAAACTAAAAACTTCAAATTCAATTGTAGAATTAAATTAAAGTCTCTAGTCCTGTTTCATTTTCAAGTAAATTCCCAAGTAGGCATCTACACAGACAATACTACTATTTACTTCAGTCTCAATAGTAAATCCGGTATTGCTGACAAAACTAACCTGGATGTTGGCCTCGAAAAGGACCTCTAATCTGTGTTTGACTGGGGCAGGAAATGGCTGGTTAACTTTAATGTCTCCAAAACTGCTCTCATTTACCCACCATAAAGAACCCTCCCTGCCTCCCATCAGAATGGCTGATGCCCAACTCTACAAGAGCACCTCTCTGTACCTGCTTGGTCTCACGCTGTCCACTGACCTGAAGTTGAACAACTACATTGAATCAATAGCTTCATCTACTGCAAGGAAAGTTGGTTCTCTGTGTCATGCCAGAAGGTTTTTCTCACCTGAGTCCATCCTTCACAATAAACCATTCATCCTTACATTGAATACTGCAGCCATATATAGTCTGGGGCCCCTGCAGTTCATCTTGAAGTCCTTGACAGAATCCAGAGACAGATATGCAATGTGATAGGTCCTGATCTGGCATCTCATCTACAGTCACTTTCTCACAGATGTACTGTGGCTTCCCTCTGTCTTTTCTACAAATATTTTCATGGCAACTTTTCTAGTGAGCTACTTTCACTGGTACCCAAACTGCATGAATTTAAGTGTGGCATGAGGTTGGCATCTTGGTCTCACCTTTTCACTGTTGAAACAGTTAAATGTAACCATTTCTTCTACTCCAACAGCT